TTTATTTTTATTTAAATACTGACTGCCACTCTTGGTATTAATATACTGGAGATATCTGGAGAAACTCCAGACACATCTTGTGGGAGTTTTCTTTGTAGAAAAATCAAGGTAGTACTTGGATGAATCAAACTACCACCTAAAATGCAGTACTGTAAATGTTTGATTTTTCAAAAAAAGATTGATATTGCGAATTGCTTCATGATTTCTGTGATTAATTAATTTATTTGTAACTTATTCTATGGACAATTGTGTCACTGTTCATCGCAATGCTTTACATGGAATGCTTGTTATTATTTTGAACTTCAACTTTAATGAAATAAATTTTGCAAGTTCAAAATTAAAATGAAGGAGGATATTTTTAAAGATACACAATAAATCAGAAAAACTACTATATATTTTGCAGGAAAACAGCAATTTGTTTACAGATAGATTAGCAGATGAAAAATGCTGTCAATAGCACTTGTTCTCTAAATGAGAAAAAAAAAAAAAAAATACTGACAGTATACTGAACTACTGTACTGACAAGATGAAGAGGATACATACAATGTTAGTAATCCAGTCTGAAGAACCTTTGGTTCAATATAATACTGGTGCTAAATGATTGTTATTATTAATAATACTGACAGAAAAACTGAATAAATTATTACGGGGACACAATGATACAGAACTTTGAAAGAAACGTTATTTACAAAAGAGTTCATGTTGGACTGTTTTAGTATGTGCACTTACATAAATGTAAACAACAGTACATTTATGTCAAGGATGATGTACCTTATTCAGCCCAAATGTGAACTTAGAAACAGAAAAAGAAGGATAAAGCAAAAGCTACAGCATCCCACCAAAACAAACAAAACAATTTTTATAAAAACTTCACATGAAGGAAGTGAATATAACATGCCAAGTCAAATCGATTTGCAGTGGTAATAAACTTTTTTTTACAAAACTGAATCCCTGAATTCATTGTGATTACGTAATGAAACCAGTCCTAACTCCTATGTCTTTGAGACTGCTGGAAGTTTGGTGCAGATACACATTTAGATTCAAATTCCTACAAACAAAAATGAAATTGATAACTCATTAGAGTACTTCATTCACAAACAATACAAACAAAATTTTAGAAAATTTAACCATGTAACAGGTCACTAGAATAAAAAACAAAATGCGACTTCTTTTCACATATGTACAAAGCTTAGAAAATGTTCATAATTGGCACCCAAGTTATTACCAGCAAAACATAGCATATGAAAGGAAAAAAAAATTATAACTTGACACTGACTGCATACAATTACAAATGTATGCAGAAACCAATGTAGAAATATATAGAACTATATAACAAGGACATTTGAGCATTATGATAACCACAATATATATTTTTCACTTTATAAAGAGAGAGAGCTAAGCCCACAACCTATATAAGGCAGTCAATGCTACTTCGCGTACTCATGCGATGAAGTCTACCATTACTTCTGTGAGATGGCTGCAATTTAGTGTCAGATAGTTCCTTCAGACTGCTCCTTGACTTTCTTAATGTACGAGCGGATTTGGATTTGGTAAGTTTCCTTTCCTTCACAGAATCCTTTTTGGAGCCCTTGGGTGATTTATTTTCCTGGTCTCCATTTTCAATATCAGGCTCTTGATCTCCAGCATCTACTTCAACATCAGAGTCATCCAAGAACACAGCACCATTTACAACCTACAGAAAATAATTAATTATAAGTACAGGTAACACATGGAGAAAACTTTTCTACACCAAAAATCTTTCATTACCTGAGTCAAACAATCAATCCAATGTTTTTTGACATGTTCATCTGTGGCCATCAAGCAAAGAGCAGAAGCCTTTGTCTTACTGCCAACATTAAAAGAAAGAGTGTCTTGAGCACGTTGTGTATTTTCAGAAGCACAATCTGTGACCTCTAAATGTTTAGCCGGAATAACAGGATAACAAGCATTGAGTTTGGTACCAGGCCTCATTGTCCTAGCTGCCACAAAACATGTGTCGAACAAGAAGCAGTGCAACTTCTGTGGAAAGAGAGAGCAAAATGATTAAACCACCAAAATTATAACAAATGTGAACACCATAATAGATAATAAGGAAGATGAACCCACCGCTCCACGCTTATCTCTGAGTACCCCAGAGCACTTCACACTGTTGGCTTTGTCAAGAAGACGTTTAGCACTTCGTAAAGCACCTGATGGGGTGCTAGGGGGAAAGTGTAACCGTTCAAGAGTCCGCTTGCACTCAGCAGAGCCAGTTGCCATATCTACCTGTCTCAGCAAAGAACTGAGAGCAGTAGATACATGAGGCAACACAAGTGCATCAACATGACTTGGAGGAGTCAACCGTAGAATTTCTGTGAGAAGAAGTGGATACTTCACAAGTCTCGAGCGTGGAACATCTGGAAAGATATGTGAGTTGTCAAAAAAACGTGATACACTGTAAAGTACAAAACTAGCAGTATTCTTATCCAGTTTCACCTAGGAAACTCCACAAATCCAACTTGCGACTGAAGGAGGATTCCAAGCAACGTCTGAGAAAATCCTGGAATCTTTTATTTGTAGCCTTTTTCTCATCAAGTAAGGCACGGGCCCAAACTTGATTTGAACAATAGCCAACATAGTGCTTTAGAGTTGGGATCCACGCAACCATTGTGTCACCTATAGCATGTGTGACCCCATTGGCATCCCTCAGAGCATGGAGTTGGACTTTCAACTGTCGATGAGCTGCTAATATAGGTCCTAAATCACCGAAGATACAATTTACTTCATCTTCAGTTAAAATTCGTAGATTTAAAAGAGAGTTGCGATATGTAGCCAGGAGCAGTTCCAAGTCTTCAACAACATTTTCCTCTCCAGCACACAACTCAAAAATTGCCTGGATTTGTAAGTTATAAAAA